GCTTGCTGATCACCTTTATTGAAGCAGAAGCTTGTCTCATTAGCATCCTGTGTAATTGTTTGCTATTGCCTTGTTGGAATAAGTCATGGAAGGTCAGCTTGAAGTTTAGGGTGTTTATTTTCTGTGCTTTTAGTGATGAATGACCTGTTTGGGTTTCCTCCTGACCCCACAGATCTAGGCATTCGTAAACTCCTCGATGGAGGTCATGAAGAATCCTGAGGAGCCCCCGACCTTGTCTGATCTTAATGACATCATCCACTTTTGCACGTCATAAATCAGCGCAGTTGTCAGAGATAAAACCATAGAAAAGCTGTCTTGCCCTATGCAATCTGCACACCCACTCCTTCACAAGCCCACTCCTACACAGCCAGAATGCATGATGATGTGACCTTGCCCTTTTTTAGCCAGATGTTATGAGTTGCAGGTTTGGAATTTTGCATTAAATAGCCAGCAAATAAACTGTAAATCTTGTTAAAAAGTGGAACAGACCCCCGATGACCAATTTCTAACATGAGGTTGTGGAATTTTAAACATTATCACAGATTAACTTGAATGACCTCATTGTTAGCAGTCCAGGACCGAAAATAAAGCTGATCATTTGACATATTAGCCACAGTCTTTACCTTTTTAATGATTTTCCTTAGGCAGCACATTATGTGATTGAGTCTAGCTGCTGAGCTGTGCTATGAACCGTTGCAGATTTCATTTCAAGTAGCCATGGGTGACGTTTCCACACACTCAACTGACATAACACTTGAACAAACAGGTTCATTACAATAACATACAGTAAATTGAGCAGATTTCTTGCATTTCTATAATTCCTGCTTTCAGGTTACGTTACAGTATGAACAGTATTAGACAAAGTAAAAACTATTATTTAAAAATAACAAAACAGGGCTGTATGGTGAGATTATGGTGGGTTTTTTTTTTTTTTTAAAAACCTGGTCTATAGCTTCCATTGCCTTCAAACTATGAACGTAACATACACTCACCAGCTACTTTATTAGGAATGTTATATTAATATGTGCTGTTGTTTTAGCCCATCCATCTAAAGATTTGGCATACTGTGCATTATGAGATGATTTTCTGCTCACCACAGTTGTAAAAAGTAGTTATTTCAATTAATATAACCTTCCTGTCAGCTCAAAGCAGTCATCTCCTCAGACCTCTATCAGAAACCAGGTGATTCTGCTTACAAAACTGTTGCATACTGGATGCTTTTTGTTATTCCACACCATTGTGTGTAAACTGAATAGTTTCTCAAATATTCAAACCTGCCTGTCTGCCTCCAACACAGTCACTGAGCTCACATTGCTTTTCATTCTGATGCTCAATGTGAACATTACATGAAGCTCTTGACCCGTATCTCCATGATTTTATGCATTGTGCTGCTGCTACATGTTTTCCGATGTTCATCTATCTAAAATGTATTCAATCAGCAAGACACTGTTATATACTTCTTTAGCTTTGTCCTATAGATACGATGATAATGTACTAACCAGATGGATGTCTGTCAACCGAAATCTTTTTTTTTTTAATATACTATATGATCAAATGTATCACACCCATATGTGCATGTTGAACATCCTAGTCCAGATTTAGTACCTTTTGCTGTTGTAATAACTTCCACTCTTCTGAGAAGGCTTTCTGCTAGATTTTGGAGCGTGGCTGTGGGGATTTGTGCTCATTCAGCTACTAGAGTATTAGTGAGGTCAGACACTGATGTTGGGCGAGGAAGCCTGGCACAAAGTCGGCATTCCAGGTCATCCCAAAGGTGTTCAGTTGGGTTGAGGTCAGGGCTCTGTGCAGTCTACTCTAGATTTTCCAGTCCAACCTTGGCAACGCATGTCTTCATGGAGCTTGCTTTATGTACAGAGGCATAGTCATGCTGGAACAGCTTTGGGCTCCTAGTTTCAGTGAAGGAATTCAGTGACACTCTATACAATTGTGTGCCTCCAAGTTTGTGGCAACAGTTTGGGTCAGGTGTCCATATACGTTGGTGCATGTAGTGTATATGCCTATTTGGTTCAAACCAGATAGTAAACGTCACTAACTATGTAAAATAGCAGAAGTTATGGTCTATATTTCAGTTTAAAGTGGAAGTACATTTTCATCTGCATAACTTCCACCTTTTCAGTACAATTCTGCCTTCAAACTTTGGGAGGCATGGCCTCTGCATGCATTAAATGTCAATAATGTATACATAATTGCAAATGTGCTTTAAAATTTGAGATCAGATATCTTGTGTATTTTCTGAGTAACATTACATTTGCAAGCCTCTTATTGTCTTGTGTGGAACTGCAAAAAAAAAAAAAAGTGATTCTGGTTGTCCTAGATGGCTTCTCTATAATGTCAGCTACAGAGTTAAACTTAATTTTTACAGCTCAAAGTAAGTTATACTGTGTCCTAAACCACATGAGTGAGTCTGCACAACATCAGTGAAGAACTGGATGAGGTTTGGGTGAAACGGATTCCATTACTTGTTGGCTAACATAGTCTTATAGCTGTAGTACAAAACTAAATGCAAATCCTAGACCCTTAACATCCCTTGGCCAAGCAGCCACATTTAAAATAAATTGAAAATGTCATCCTTTTGATTTTTTGCCAAGCCCTTTCTTTAAATACTCGGATACTTATATAGTGTTTAAAAACCACAGCAAAGCTGCTGTACCTGATACACTCATACAGTACAAGCACCGCACACATTAATGTTTCACTAATGTCACTGCAGTGCTGAGAAAGACCCACCATCCAAAATAATACCCGCTTTTTGGTGGTCCTATGCTGGTGCCTTTCCACTGATTGAGGTTGACAAATTGTTCAGGCACAACAGTTGGGATACAGTTAGGAATGAGAGATGTACAAAGTGGCATTGAATATATGTTAGGTGTAGCTGCAGCTCTTGCAGCACTTTAATGTTTTTAAATAAAGGTCAACAACTTACAATCTTTGTTTTAGTAAATTGCATAAAACTTATGCAGTCTTTAGATCCCTGTCCTTAACCCATATGTAAATGTATTTCAGTACATCTGCACATTTCTTCTGCTGACCCAATTCTGTCTCATCCCTTTAAATTCAATTTAGGTTCCATTGGCTTTGATTCATTTTGAAACAGAAACAAACTTGTATGCATTTTGTCTTCTTCTGCTTAGGCCTTTAGAGATTACTTTAAGTGTACAGTCAGCTTGTTTTCCATAACTGCACATCTCTGAGCAACGATCAATAATTCGTCAACGTCTTTATATTAAAGATAAAGGAAGGGAACCTGCAGGGCCAGTTCTGAAGAGAGCCATATTTTGCACCTGAATCATCAAGCATTTCGCCATCCACTTCCTCATCATCTTTTGAAAAAGCCTTTTGTTTCAGAACCAGGCCTTGCTATACTTTCTTTTTCCTTTTCTTTCATTGCTGAGTGCCGTGTGTGTCCTCCCACGCGGCTGCTCTCCCGCCGGAGAGAAGAGAACGTGTTACTGACAGGGACGTTTGCATTAATGCCCATTTTCTTCTCACTAAGTGGGAGCTGTCTGCGTGTTTTAAAGTGAGCTGTGACTTGCAGAGAGCCACTAGACGCTCTTTTGTTCTGAAACATCACTAGAAATTTATACATGTTGCAGATTGCACAAATTATAGAGGCTTATAAGCTTTAATAACTGTAGCTTTGTGTCTGGCTAAGGAAGATGTACTGATATATATGCACCTCAGTGTCCTGAAATAGAATAGAATTTTCACAAACAATGTACATACAGTATCTCACAAAAGTGAGTACACCCCTCACATTTTTGTAAATATTTGATTATATCTTTTCATGTGACAACACTGAAGAAATGACACTTTGCTACAATGTAAAGTAGTGAGTTTACAACTTGTGTAACAGTGTAAAATTGCTGTCCCCTCAAAATAACTCAACACACAGCCATTAATGTCTAAACCGCTGGCAACAAAAGTGAGTACACCCTTAAGTGAAAATGTCCAAATTGGGCCCAAAGTGTCAATATTCTGTGTGGTCACCATTATTTTCCAACACTGCCTTAACCGTCTTGGGCATGGAGTTCACCAGAGCTTCACAGGTTGCCACTGGAGTCCTCTTCCACTCCTCCATGAGGACATCACGGAGCTGGTGGATATTAGAGACCTTGTGCTCCCCCACCTTCCATTTGAGGATTCCCCACAGATGCTCAATAGGTTTTAGGTCTGGAGACATGCTTGGCCAGTCCAGCACCTTCACCCTCAGCTTCTTTAGCAAGGCCTTGGTCGTCTTGGAGGTGTGTTTGGGGTACATACTGATCATAGTCTGCTTCAGTAAGTCACAGTACATGTTGGCATTCACGTGTGTCCACATGAGTACAGCAAAATGGTCTGCTTTACCAACACACATTACTGTGAGACACCGTTTAAAACAATTTTGTGCAATTGCAGCAGTTTTTTTGGCCTCACAATTACTTGATTACTGATCTTGCTGACTTACCTCAACACTACAATTTCAGTTGAAGAATTCTGTAACTGAGTGGATTTCGGTCTATGTATTTTTCCTTTGAACCTTTAGTCATATACTGGCTTGCTAACTAGCTGAATTGCTAAGTATTCTGTATGCTAGCATGCTAAGTAGCAATGTCAACTCCATGTTCATAGTATCATGTCATCTATCTTTGCTATCCTTCTGTTCTCATGGGTCCTGACACCTATGTTGATGACCTTAGGAACCCTTTCACCCTTTCTTTTGTTGAATCATTAAGAAAGTATAGAGCTGAAGGAAAGTAGGGCCTTGGAAACACTCCCAGTATTTTGTTTACTTGCTAGCACAGTGTTTCCCCAAACCATTCCTCAGAGAAGCCTCAAAGATGTTGTTGGCTACTCCCATTAAGGGTTGCCACAGCGGCTCATTGGTACACATATTTGATTTGGCACAGGTATTATGGCAGATGCCCTTCCTGACGCATTCCTCCCTTTTTATTAGCCGGGCGTGGTACCAGCAATGGCTGGGTCAGTTCTTTGCCTGGGAATTGAGCCCGGGAATCGAACCCGGGCTGCTGCAGTGAGAACACAGGATCCTTAGCCGCTGGACCACCAGGGAACTAGAGAAGCCTCAAAGATGTGATCACACAAAACAGTCACCAAACTCACAGATAATTTGACAGCTGATATATAGACCGTTTACAAATGGAGACTTTTAGACTCCTGTCTGTTTCATGGTGGTACATAACCAACAACTTGGTCCAAGAATTACATTCCCTGTATGAGTGAAGCACATTTAGCTAGCAAGCTAGCAATGAAAAAAAAATCTTCTTTACACAACCATATTTGATAAACTGGCTTCTTAAATACCTAACATGACCTTTGCAGAAAGCTAAGGCAAGTTTGGAAAGTAGTAAACATTTCTACATTGTTTTGGTAGTGGAAATATACAGAGTGTCCCAAAAGTCACCATACATAGCGGACTATGTTTGCCAGCACCACGTCGGTTGTGCCGTCGTCAGTGGATGCTTGTGGACGTCCACTTCTCGGTTGGTCTTCAACACTTCCAGTCTTTTTGAATTTGTTAATAAGTTTGGCAACAGTGTCATATGTGATGTGCTTACCATGTTTCCTGTTAAAGTCCATCTGAACCTTGCGACAGCTTCCCGATCAAGAAATAATGATGATTTCAATGGGTTCTTCTTTTGTCAAAGGTATTCTTAAAGACTATCTGAAAAAAAAGACAAGTATGGAAACTTTTGGAAGAGATTTAGCTGAAAAGTGTTAATTTCACCTATGTGTGGAGATTTTTAGGACACCCTGTATTTATATTTTCATAAAGTAGAGGTGTCAAAGCATGTTATAGGAAAAAAAAATTGGGCTGTTTGCCAGAATTCTGCCACATGGCCATTAGATGGGTTCTCCAGACCACCATACCTGTCGAATACATTTTATCATTGTTTATTATTTAGTTTGATTATTTATTAATTCTGTGGTTTTCCAATCAAAGGAGGCATACTGAATATCCACTGTAGGAATAGTTTCAGAAATTCAGGAACTTTTGCGTTCATTTCATTCAGATTGATTTCCACCTTTGGAACCAGGGCTTATTGCACTTCCATGAACCTTGTTCATTTCTGCTACATGAGGCAGACATCATATGTTTATGAATGGTTAAGTATGTGTTGTTCAAATTATTCCAAGACACAGTTCTGTTTCAGCAGAGAACTGCTGTAACTGAAGGGTAGTTCAGTGAGTCCATTGCATTGATGATTCAGCATTAGGTCGATGAAAGAGAGAGGGAGAGAGAGAGTAAAGAAGGGAAAAGGGACTTTCCCCACTATTCATTCAGTCTGCTCCTCCTCCTGTACCCGTCTTTCTTTTTTTTTTTTTTTTTTTTTTTTTTTTTTTTTTTTTTTTCTCTCTCTCTCTCTCTCTCTCTCTTTTTTTTCTCTCTCTCTCTCTCTCTCTCTCTCTCTCTCTCTCTCTCTCTCTCTCTCTCTCTCTCTCTCTCTCTCTCTCTTTGTCTGTGTCTCTCCAGTGTTCCAACGTCAGCCTCATGCTTTTGATTCCTGTCATCTGTAATTGGAGCTCTCGTTCTCCAAACTGCTCTTGCATGCTGGTGGCTGTTTCCACTTTTTCCTGACAGTTGCTGATAAACACTTCATTCTTCTGCTCAGATCTGAATTCAGCCAGGCTGCCGTCGTTTCGGCTCCAGCTCACCGATTTAGGAGCTGCTTATCCAGAGCTGGCTTTAATGCATACATACAGTACATGGCTCAGGGTGGCGAGATATATTACTTTGAATTCACACTGAAATGGCCTGTACCAATTAGGTGCATGAAATATGAGCGAATATTTAATGTTGACAGTAACAGTCAGGACAGCAACAGTCAGGTGATTTTGGAGGGGAATATATATATATATATATATATATATATATATATATATATATATATATATATATATATATATATATATATATATAATGTGTGTGTGTGTGTGCGTGTATATCTCACAAAAGTGAGTACACCCCTCACATGTTTGTAAATATTTGATTATATCTTTTTATGTGACAACACTGAAGAAATAACACTTTACTACAATGTAAAGTAGTGAGTTTACAACTTGTGTAACAGTGTAAATTTGCTTTCCCTCAAAATAACTTAACACATAGTCATATATGTCTAAACCACTGGCAACAAACGTGAGAACACTTTAGCCTAAGATGGTGTAGGCTATAAGACGATTGCCAAGACCCTGACACTGAGCTGCAGCACGGTTTCCAAGACCATACAGCAGTTTAACAGGACAGGTTCCAAGATAAACTTATTTGGTTCAGATGGTGTCAAGCGTATGTGGCAGAAACCAGGTGAGGAGTACAAAGACAAGTGTGTCTTGCCTACAGTAAAGCATGGTGGTGGGAGTGTCGTGGTCTGGGGCTGCATCAGTGCTGCCAACAATGGGGAGCTACAGTTCATTGAGGGAACCATGAATGCCAACATGTACTATGACATACTGAAGCAGAGCATGAACCCTTTGGAGGCTGGGCCACAGGGCAGTATTCCAGCATGATAATGACCCCAAACACACTAAAGAAGCTAAGGGTGAAGGTGATGGACTGGCCAGCCATGTCTCCAGATCTAAAACATATTGAGCATCTGTGGGGCATCCTCAAATGGAAGGTGCAGGAGCACAAGGTCTATAACATGGTGCTCACACAAAATATTGACACTTTGGGCCCAATTTAGACATTTCCTCTTAGGGGTGTATTCACTTTTGTTGCCAGCAGTTTAGACATCAATGGCTGTGTGTTGAGTTATTTTGAGGGAAAGCAAATTTACACTGTTACACAAGCTGTACACTCACTACGTTATATTGTAAGTGTCATTTCTTCAGTGTTGTCACATGAAAAGATCCATCCATCCATCTCCAGGGAACCTGGAGCCTATCCCAGGGAGCATCGATCACAAGGCGGGGTACACCCTGGACAGGGTGCCAGTCCATCGCAGGGCACAATCACATACACACTCATTCATACACTATGGACACTTTAGACATGCCAATCAGCCTACCATGCAGGAAACCGGAGTACCCGGAGGAAACCCCCGCAGCACGGGGAGAACATGCAAACTCCACACACACATGGCGCCGGCAGGAATCAAACCCCAGACCCTGGAGGTGTGAGGTGAAAGTGCTAACCACTTATCCACCGTGCCCCACATGAAAAGATATAATCAAATATTTACAAAAAATGTGAGGGATGTACTCACTTTTGTGAGATACTGTATATATATATATATAGTGTCTTTTTTTGTGGCTGTTAGAAATAAGCAACACTGAGAAAATATTAGACAAATGGTTTGTTGTAAGCACATAGTTCCATTCCTTTTTTGCCAGGCAAATTATATTAGAAATCATTATGATAACTGCTTACTATACTATGAGACATAGTATCTTTGTTTCAATAATTTTTTATCATCTTAATCTACTGGAGTGTGAGTGACTTTACGTGCACCTGACATCACTGAAGTACATTGGATGATCATTAAAAACAATATTGGGTTTTTAATCACATGAGGCCTATATCCATGCTGCAGGAATATTTTTCCAGGAACTCAGGTTGAAATGTTGATTTTACTTCCAGGTACCTTTTTAAATTTCTGCTCCAGTGAATATAGTGACTGAGGTTGAACTTGCTGTTTTGTACGTTACTAATTGGTCAAACTCAAGTTTAAAGGTCTTTGGGCTATAACCACTGTGATTTATATCATATGGACAAGAGGATATCATAGAACAGCTGATTTAATCCTGTTTTACACTATGCAATGTCCATCCATTTTCTGTATAGCTTACCCTACACAGGGTCGTGGGGGAGCCTGGAGCCTATCCCAGGGGATTTAGGCCACAAGGCGGGGGAAATCCTGGATGGGGTGCCAACCCATCAGAGGGTACAACTGCACACACATTCACACAGTACAGACAATTTAAAGATGCCAATCAGCCTACAACACAAGTCTTTGGACTTTACCCGGAGGAAGTCCCCAAAGCACAGGGAGAACATTCAAATTCCGCACACACAGTGTAGAGGTGGGAATCAAATCCCCAACCTCGCAAGTGCAAGGCATACCTGCTAACCACTAAGCCACCAACTATAAAGATTATTACTTGTCATGCTGTATGAGATAATATCAATGAATACTTGGCCAAATGACAGACTGTGTGATAACACATGCTCTCCATGTCAGACTATACAATGAATATTCTCTAGCGGTAGATCTGTGAATTAAGAAAATTACTTTAGAAAATTGGGTTGCATAAACATAAACATTGTCAATGTGAGCATGATCAAAGAATGACTAATGAATTATTTTACAATGTGAAATTTTTGTATGTGCTGAAAATCAAACCGTGTAAAGCAAGCTTTAGACTGATCTGCTCTGTAGTTATAGGCCACCTTCTTTAAGGTGTCATCTGGACATGCATTGAGGCAGCAGTGGTGGCTTAAGCTAAGCCTAAGGTACTAGCCGAGTGACCAGACGTTTGTGAGTTTAAATCCCAGATCTTCAAATGTTGGCTGCTTCAGGAGGAGTCTTACCCTGCATTCACATGCAGGATAAATGGAAGTTATTTATTTCCAATGTGTGTTGATTTATGTCAAGAAGCAGAGCGGATATTGGCAGCATGAGCAGGGCAACGTCATAAAGTTGAGTAGAGCTTAATTTTTCAAATGAGGAGCAAAGCAGCTTGGCAACCATCAACAGGAGTAAGATTTAGGACAAATCAGTGTCCAATAACACCTCTGGTTCCTGTCAGAGACAAATGCAATCAAAATTATTCAAAACCCATTGCAAATCAGTTTTATTATCAAAATGTACAGACTTTCAGCTGTTTGCAATGAACGAATCACACAAAAGCAACTGAAATAGTTCAACACAACTAATGAGTCAATATACATTGCATTTTTAGTTGAATTTGGGGAAACCACTTGAAGCATTTGTTGTGTTACACCTCTATTCTGTGCACTTTGCTTCTCAATTATAAATCTTGTATGGTAGCTCTACTCCCTGCGATGGACTGGCACCCTGTCCAGGGTGTACCCCACCTTGTGCCCA